GAGGTCAAGCAGCAGAGTGGAGGGGGCCACAGGGGCCGCAAGATGTTTGTGATTTAGGGAATGTTGCCTGAAGGGACCTATACTCTTAGGTCAAGGAGTTCTGAAATGTGCTTTACAATGTGTCATGCACGCTGTTTGGGAACATTCATGAAACTCAGTTCATTGTTACACAATATCGATCCAGGCCTCAGATGCACAGAGGTGAGAGTGAGAGGTGGTTTTGGACCCCTGGGAGTCTGCGTCTCAAGAAGTAACCCTCTATGCTACAGAGGACACCATTGAGATAGTGGGGGAAATTTAAATAAGGACTGTAATATTTGTATATTTGATAATAGTTTATCAAACTGCTTCCCAAATGTGATAATAATGGGGCTCTGGTTATGTAGGTGGATGTCCTTGTTCTTAGGAGACAAGAGGTGAAGTATTTAGACGTCTGCAAACTCTGAGGTTCAACAAAAAACTTATATAATATATAGATTGTCTCATTGTTACATGAATTATGTCACACATATACAGAATGTATCAAACTATATATATTACACAGGCAAAAATTAGAGCGAGTGCACACACAAACATGACAAAATGTTAATGACTGGCGTCTCTGAGGGAAGAAGGTTCGCTGGACCATTTCTCTGACTTTTCAGTTGAAATGTTTTAAAAGGAAAAACTGGGGGCGGGGAGGAAAATCATTCTAGACTTCGGAGCGCTGGGAAACGTCAAGTCAGTCAGACGTCCCTGCGGGGGCCCGGGGCACGCCCAGAATAGCATTATCTCCCCTCTCCTCCCTCTCTCTCTCTCCGGGCAGGGCCTCCCTCCCCTTTCCTCCGGCCCCGCTCCTTTCCTCTGCAACGGGGAGAAGAGCCAGCTAGCTTGATTAGTGTTTAAAAACCACACACCCAGGGGAGAGGGAAGACCAGAGGTGCAGGAGATTAGCAGCTGCAGGCCAGGCTGAGCCCTCACAGCCGAGGGCGAGCTGGAGTAAACCATCGGGGACCTGGAGCCCTTCCAGCTCTGCCCCTCCCTAAATGCGAGGGAGTCCCTTAGTGAGAGGGGAACGCTCTGTTTATTTTATCTTCATTCAGCAGCTCAGTAGTAATGGAAAGAAAATGTTCTTTTTCTTTGAACGTGCCCAGCAAAATCACACAAAAACACAAGAAGGTCAAGGCCCCCCGCTGACTCACTGCCTCTAATCCAGCCCGCCTCCCAGCCTCCAGCTCTGGATTCTCCCAGAGCACACAACTGGCTCTCCCAGATCTGCCACTTGGCCTTGTCACCCCCTCCCCCCACCCCCACCCCCCACTTCTTCCCTCTCTCCCTCAAATAATGGCAGAAAGAGCTGGACCTCAGGACCCCAGGAGCCCTTCCCCACACCATCTCTCCGGCTTGTCAGGGCCTGGAGACCCTGGCCACCGGGCCGGCCCGGCCACGTGGCCTCCACGTCTCCCCACTGCTCGCATTCATCTCCGGCTTTGCAGTCCCTGGGGGTCCTGGGATTCCTGACAGCGTATCCGGTCGCCTATGGCTTAGGGGCACCCGGCTGGCTCAGTCAGTGGAGCGTGCAACTCTCGACCTCAGGGTTGAGAGTTCGAGCCCACGCTGGGTGTAGGGATTACTTAAAAATAAAATAAAATTAAATTAATTAAAAGTGAAAAGCCTAGGGGCACCTGGGTGGCTCAGTCGGTTAAGCATCTGCCTTTGGCTCGGGTCATGATCCCAGGGTCTTGGGATCGAGCCCCGCATCGGGCTCCCTGCTCAGCGGGGAGCCTGCTTCTCCCTCTGCCCCTCCCCTGATCATGACCTCTTTCTCTCTCTAATAAATAACATCTTAAAAAAAAAAAAAAAAAGTAAGGGCGCCTGGGTGGCTCAGTTGGTTGAGCGACTGCCTTCGGCTCAGGTCGTGGTCCGGGAGTCCTGGGATCGAGTCCCACATCGGGCTCCCTGCTCGGCAGGGAGTCTGCTTCTCCCTCTGACCCTCTTCCCTCTCGTGCTCTCTGTCTCTCATTCTCTCTCTCTCAAATAAATAAATAAAATCTTTAAAAAAAAAAAAAACAACGTAAAAAGCCTATGGCTTAAATACCCACTAACGAGTACCGTTGGTCCAAGGTTGGGGTGGCAGCAAGGGAGCTCTGCGAGCTTCCAGGGGAGCCCAAAGAAAGGAGGAAAGATGACAAATGGCCTCACACTGGCCTCATCTCTATGCATTTTGTCACCACATGGACACAGGGCTGGGAGCACACTCCCTTGCTTTAAAAACGTGTTATCGACATCCAGTAAAGGCGCACTGGTCTCCCCACTCGCTGACAGCCAGCCCCTGTCAGGCTGAGGGAATGCCCCTGCACAGAGCCGTTACTCCGGGACCATTTCTGAAAATGGACCCAAGTCAGTATGACGAGCTGCGCCAAGAAAGATGGGGGCTATGTCAGCTCTGGTGGGTCTTGTGCCCACCCTAGAAAAGCAGTTCACCCTCTGCTCAGGGAAAATCGCTTCTGCCAGGTATCTCCCACAGGCCACTGTCGTCTATTTTTCCACCTGGGTCCCTCCTGGAAAGATGACCGTTTTCTTTCCCTAGGGTGCTAGAAGGTTAAGCCCAGAGACTAATTTCCCACAGGAGCAGGATGAGTAAGTCTCACTTGCCCCAGGAAAGGAGAAGTGGGGCGACTTATCAGATCTTTAACTCTAAGACTGTTGTGTTTACATGGGAGACCACAAACCTCAGAGGACCACAGCCGATTGGCCACGGCTCAGTGACTGGAAAGAAAATGGGCACAGCCCAAATCATACTGCCTGGAGGTGGTTTCCACCGAACCCCACCCTGGGCATGATGCAAAGGGGAGGTGGGGGGCGGGGATCTCGGGCTCCTGTTGCCTGTGGGTGGATGAGGTGCAAGACTTGTGCAAACCTCTGCCTTTGAGTGACGCCTGGGGGTTCCCTAGGGGACCCTGATTTGACGGCAACATCTGGGCAGAGTCCCGGTGCTCTGGCATTTTGCAGCATCCTTTCAAGTCGTGTTTGTTTAAAGCAGAGAGATTAGGGTCACAGTCACAGAAGAAGTGGATGGGACTTGGACATCATGTCACGCAGGGCCCCCTCCTGCCCTCACTTACAGCTGAGGACTGTGACAGCCAGAGGAGCGGACCTGGGATGGGAAGAGCTAAGGGGTGAGGTACCTTCTGACAGAAAAAAATGCATAATTCTCCCTTTGGTCACACAGGCATCTTTCTTCAAAAAAGTCAAATCATGACCATATCCTGTTGATTCATGAAGCCAAACTGAAATTAAACTTCTTCAGGCAGCCCTGCCTTTTTCTCTCTAATCAAACCATTTGATGATACACAGGAGAAGGAGCTGCCACTTACTGGCTTAATTTCTGGAATCATCTGTGTTTCTCTTTGGAAGGGGACACTGGGGACGTTCCTGCAAGCCTGCCCTCGGACCCTCGGAGACTCGAGCCAAGCACCAGCCAAGCACCCCCACCCCATGGCCACACCGCCCACTCGTGAAACTCTTGGACATGCTTCTCCGAGCTTTATCATTATGCTCAGACAACTCTCAAAATCCCCCACAGAGGCATTTCTGAGGTTTTGCTGATTCCATTAAAACTTCAACATTATTCTGTCCCCACCCTCACCCCTCTCCCCACCCTTAGTATGTTTCTTAAGCAAGAGACGGAAAGAAATGGGTTTGAGTATCTGTGCTGCTCTTAGATTCCTGAAACGTCCCACATAGGTCACCAGAGTGCTGAGGGGCCTTCTAATTAATTGTGAAGCAGTCTCGATCTGCTCTTGTTCAAGTTCAGTGAAAAAAAGAAATGCCCATGCTTTTGGTTTGCTTAGTTTGCACCAGCCTCATCAGAACCTGACTCTCCTCGGTGGCGCTGGGGGCAGCCACCCCCACCCCAGTCTGTGGTAGGAAAGCCACCTTCCTGGCATCAGGGACTCCACACAAACGCAAGGAATGGGACAGAGTCAAAGCTGTGTGTTTCCCTGCTCTGCTCAAAACCCAAATGCTAATGCCGCCCATAGTGCCCCTCCGTGGCATTAAACATAAATCCCAATGTTGCTTCCTTAGACGTTTTTCCTATGTAACTGAAGGCAAAACACATTAAATATTTGATCTAGTCTTACCATGATGAGAGCTAGCAGGCTCATAAATAATCCATTGACCTGTTTCATTTTTCTGGACAAAATTGATCATAAACACACACGCGCGCGCGCGCGTTTGTAATGTCTGACTCTTAGAAATTCTACCCCTCTCAAATTCTTCAGAACCCCAACTGAAGAAGAAGTTCTTTATGCAAAAGACTCAGTGCAAAAGGAAACGTGCTCCTTTGGGTTCCTCAGCTCCAGAGAGTGTTTTCAAAGACATATTTAAATGCACACATTTTCTTTAGCAACTGACGGTTACGCACTTGAACCGTGTACAACAGCTCGCTGGAGTGTGAGTTTCCCATACATTCGGAATGGCCCGGGAGATGGCTGAGCGTGCACCGGCTCCGCCAGTGAAAACAACCCAGACGCCCGGAGACTCGTCCCACTTAAGAGTCCATTCGGAGATTTCTCTAGATACTTGGGCATTTCTGTCAACCAGAACCCCCCCTGCAGAAGTGCCTCTGCACGAAGCCACCTGCACGCCGTGGGTAAGTGAGGACCCAGCCGAAGCCGCGAGTTGAAGCTAAAGCAACTTTTTCCGACGCGCAGAACAGAGTTTAGCCTAAGCCGGGCTTCACAGGGTCTTGCTCCGGTACCCAGGCCATCGCAACAGCCCCCGCGTGCGGTAGACAAAGGCGCCCTCCAGTGCCGCGCCCCCCCCCCCCCCCCCAGTCCCTTCGGCGCTCGCCCTGTCGCCGGGCGCGCCGGCCGTCCCCACCCGTCCTCCCCGCGAGGGCGGCGGCGGGGCGCGGAGCCCACCGCGCGGCGCATGCACGCCCGCGCCCCGGGAGGCCCCGCGGGATGGGGTGTGCGGGCAGGAGCGCGGATCCGCCGCCAGGCAGGCCGACCCACCTGCCGGGAGTCCGTAGGGAGGCTGGTCCGGGGCTCTCCGAGGCGGGGCGGCCCTCGCGCCCTCGAGGCAGCGGGGGCGCGGCTGCCTGTGCCGGAGCGGGCGCCCGAGCGGCCGTATTTGTACTCTCGTGCCCTCACATGGTCTGATCTCTAGATATCCGCCGCCAAAGAGCTCTTTAAGAATTTTTGCGTCACTTTGAGCCGCAGAAACTTTACGTTTCCGCGTGGCCGCGGCTCCGCGTTCCCCCCCTAGGTGGGGTGGGGGGTGGCCGCCCGGGCGCTCGCGCGGGGTGGGGGGTGCTGCGCCGTGCAGGGAGGGGGCCCGGGGGCGGGGCCCCAGGGGACGTGGGGGGGGACCCTCCCTCCCACGGAGGGACAGTGCTCTAGGCAGCGAGAGAGCCCGGGGCGGCGGGGGCGCCGGCCGAAGGCCGAGCAGAGCCAAGAATCCCAACTTTCTCGCTCTCACCTCGCGGGGGACGGGGCCTCTCCACAACCGACAGGGGTATTTCCGCCCCCACCGATTGCTCCCCAAGTCGTGTTTAGGGTTCTGCTCAAAATCACTCCTTCAGAGCAATCTTTCTGGACCACTGACACCTGCCCATCACCCCCACCCGGAATCCTGCTCTATTTCTCTTCCTACGACTTAGCACCTGGCATTCCTGGAGTTTATCTCCACCGTGCGATGTGCGCTTGGCCAGAAGGGACCTAGTCTAATTTCTGGCCTCCAGCAGTGCCCGACCTAGTGGCTCACAGTAGATACTTGCAGACAGACAGACAGACAGACAGAATGAATGAATGAATGAATGAATGAATGAAGAACTCTTTCTCGTTTTGTTAACTAGCCACACTTCAAAGCTGTATCAGAACAGAGTGTCCCGGTGGTGATCTGCCGGAGCAGATATGCCTGTGGTGTTGCTAGAGTAGAGAAGTTACTAAAGTATTTTAATTATCTGAAGAGGTTCAGCAGGAGCTTATTGTTTTGACCCATGTAAAAATATTGCTGATTTTTTTTAAAAGTTAAGTTTAAATGTGAATTTCATGTTATTTGTTGTATTCTCTTTTCAGTAGATTTTTTTTTTTTTTTTTTTACATTTGATAAGAACAGATGGAGTCCTTGCTTTGGGATGTCCCTGAGGCAGAGGGGAGAGGGCGAGGACCTCCAAAAGGAGGCCAGAGATGGAGCAAAGTAGAAGGAAGAAAGGAACTACAAGCTTGCAGCCTCTTTGTACTTGGAGGAACTGAACCCACAAAGCTGAGCACAAACTCGCTGGGCTGAGCAGGTGTCTGCCGGCACCCGCGGGCTCCCCAGCCTGGGAGGAATCAGTGTGAGGCTTTGGTGCCACCTAGACGTCAGGATAGCGATTGCAAGGGAGTGGTGAGCCGGATGGCATTTAGGGCTGCAAAGCCAGGCTGGTGATTCCTGGGCAAACTTGGGAATTTCATCTCCGGGCCAAATCCCCAGGCGGCAGGGGCCCACATGGGTGCTTCCCCCTTTGAGATAAACAAGTTGCTGCACCCCAGGTTCTACTTGGCCTTCTTAAACTCATGTGTATGCGCAGTATGAACAAGGAGCTACACAAATGTAGGGTGTGGTTCCAAGGAGGGGACAGGGCAGAACCAAGGGAGGAGGAGACTGGGAAGGGGGCCACAGGCTGTAGGAGCAGTGGGGGTGACTTTAGCCCTTGGTTAAGGCTCTCCGGAATCTGTCCTCCACCTTAATTCCAACGTGGCTTTTTAACACCACTCCACAGTCTCACGAACCCGTTGACCCCACCACTCCTGGCCTTCTTCCTAGATCCTAATACCCATTTCTGCCCAGCCACTCCAGGGTGGGTACTGCCTTCTTTGGTGTGGTGCTGGCCTAGAGAGTGGGGATCCCACGGGCCTTGGTTAAATCTTAGCTCTGACCCTGTCCTGTCTGTGGGTTTGTTCCCACACAGGGTAAGTTGTCTGGCCTTCCCGGCCCTTGTGTGTAAAATAAGGATCCTATGAATGGTGAGCACCACCCAGCTTGGGGGTGTGAAGAGGCTGACAGGTGCGTGGCCCGCCCCCTATGCACCTCTCCTCCCGAGGGAGACTTCCTGTGTCCTCTCTCTTCAGCCTTGGACCACCCAGACCAGGCTTCTCTCCTCTTGCTCCCTTGCTAAGGGGGCGCTACCAGAAGAAGACATTAGACTTACACAGACTGGATCCTTCCCTCGCTCCTTACTGCCTCCCTGGTGGAGTCCACACAAAATTGTCCCAGACGGTCTATCCTCTCTCGAAACCTGTGCTTTCTCTTCCTCTTGTCCCCATGGGTGCCACCCTACATACACCCCTTAGCCCCAGCCGCCCCCACTTCATCTCCACGAATCCAGCCCCCCCTCTCCTCCCTAAAGCCAACCCTTCCCCATCGTGCCTCTCGCTGTCATTGCCACAGCTGCCCAGTCATCTCCAGAAGCTGACTCTCTCCCTCGTGAAGATCCCTGGTCTGACTGCCCATCCTCCGTCCACATGGCGGGGAGCGGACAGATGTCACCGTCTACTGGTGCCCTGGCCAGTTGTCCATCTCCATCACGGCTCCTTCGTGACCCGGGCACCTGCTCCGTGCCAGGCGGAGGAAGACAGAGGCTCTGCCCTCCAGGGCCAGGCCGAGGGGCTGTGCTGAACGTGGGCGGCAGCAGGGAGCCTGGACCCGGAGAGGCACAAGGAAAGCAGCGTTTCTGGAAGGATCCCGTGGCTGCTCCACCTGGGGCCTGAGGTGCAGCAGGGGAGTGGGGCGCTGGAGGCACACGGGGCCCTCAGCCCGGAAGGTACAGACAGGGAGGAGGCGGAAGTCAGAAACCAGGGGAACTGGTGAGGCTCAGCGACTGGCTGGTGTCGGGAAAGCCATGGGGCTGCGGAAGATGCTCCGAACCTGGCTGAACGTGCGTGACCACGACCGGGTGAAGAGCCCTGCCAGGCGACCCTGGCTCAGCGATAATTGCTCTCAGTTCCACCAGCTCTGGCCTCTGCAGAACAAACACAGCCCTCTCTCCCTCACCCCACGTAAACACTGCCACCACGAACACCCACGTTCTGGGTGTCTCGAGGCCCAGCAAACCGTTCCCCTGTGGAGCCAGAGCAGGCAAGGGCTCTAAGGCCAAACCTCTCCCTCCAGAAGTCCTGGGGCCATCCGTCTGTCCTGCCTCCGTTCTGTTTAATGCAGTAATGGAAGACAAGGCCCATCCCTTCCAAAGGGGATTTGCCAGGGAGGTGACACAGTTTGGGTGACTCTGTTCATGTTCAGCCACGTGCAGGGTCCGGCACCTCGAAGGCAGGACCTGCTGCACTGTGAGGCCTGTGCTCACCCCCTCAGAGGGCTTGGGCAGGCGTCCCCCTGTGGCAGCCCCCGCTGGATCCAGAAGAGACAAGGAAAGGGCATGGGAGGGGCAGCCCCATCCGGAGTGCCAGGAGGGGAAGGTGCTAGGCTGTGGCAGGGATGGGGTTGAGCAAGATGCTTTGGCCACCTTTCCTGCCCTTCTGTCCCGTTCCTGAGGAGCCTCCTGTCTTGGATAAACACCCCTTCTTCCTCCAGGCTTGACAGCTATTGTGACTGCCCTGTGCTCTATCTGTAATGTCTTTGAACGGGGGTTTCTGATTTTTCCTTCCTTCCTACAGATTTCCCTCCCCTGTCTATAAACACCCGGAGCTGGGGCCACATTCTGGAGGGGGGCTGGTTTTTTACCTCCGACCTTGGCAGAGAAGCAGAAGCCAGGAGCAGCACGGAGCCCCGGGAGGGGCCCCCGCGGCCCTGTGTGTGCGCCCCCTGGTACATAGGGCCCGTGCCCCTCTTCTACGTGCGCACCTCCTCTGCTAGGCTCCCAGGTCCCAAGGGAAGGGGCACCCCACCTCTCCCCCCGGCTCAACACACAGCAGGCCCCGCAGACATGTGCGTGGCCAGGGAACAACTCGGAAATGCTTTTTACTCTCGACAGACTCCGGGTGCCACTAAAACCAGGGCCTTGGGTAAATCCTGGCGCAGCCAACGACGGGGTACCACACAGCTGTTGGGAAGAGTGAGGCAGTTTATCTGGGCTCATTTGGGGAGGTTCGCAAGGTTTATTGTTAAATGAGGGGAAAAAAGCAAAGCACAGAACAGGTGTTACTGAGTTTGCTGGGCAGGGGGAGGCTGATAACGCGTGTTGAAATCTAAGTATAGACAAGTGAGGAGGAAGAACAAGGAGGCGGAGGAGAAGAGAAAGAAAGAAGAAAAAAGTCGAGGAAAGACAGAAGGCAGGGGGACATCCTGGGAGCCCCAAACTTACCACAGAACAGAACCTGGAGGTGTTCCCAGGGCCGCAGCTCTACTTCACAGGATTCAGATGTGTTTCCTTCCAAAAGTTACTCGGCACCACTGTAATTTTGTCTGTTCCCTTAGGAAGGGGGCAAATATTTGCGCTAATTTACTAGCGAGGACGCTAGTTGACGTTTAGAGGTGACGTTTAGGGCTGCGCTCGGGATGGGATCAAGAGGGCCAGAATTATTCTGAGAACGGGCCCTCACTCACCCTCTCTTTGGCTTTTCTTCCCTTCTAGGAAATTCACGATAACTTGTGCCCCTGTGTATAGGGAGGTTTCCCCTTTATCTCTTCTTCGTAAGCCCGTCACCCTCATCCACCACCCTCACTGGGGTCTGTGGTCTCTGTGGTTAGAAGTTAGTTTAAAACCCGTCAGCATTTCTTCCCTTCTCCGAGTTCAAGCCCTTTTGCAACTGTAGGGCACTTACTAGAAGTCCTCACTCATATAAAGCCACCTTCTTTCTCCACTGGCTCGTGTAAAGACATCTTACTTTCCCAGCAGAATGATAAACTCCTAGAGAGGAGGGCGATGTTTGGACCCCAGAGGGCTCAGCACAATACCGCATGCGTTGGAGAAGCCCTGTGAGAACTGGTCATTAATAAAAGCTACCATTTGGGGCGTGGCTCAGTCCGTTAAGCGTCTGCCTTCGGCTCAGATCATGATCCCGGGGTCCTGGGCTCGAGCCCCGCGTTGGGCTCTCTGCTCAGCGGGGAGCCTGCTTCTCCCTCTGCCCCTCCTCCACTTGTGTTCTCGCTCTCTCTC